TGAATTTTTCAGCGATCAAATTTACGTAAATAATATTTCGCAATTAGGCGAGTAATCACAGAACGAAAAATGAATTTCTTCATCGGTTCGTATCAATTACCGACGAAATCAAATTGCATCGTTCCGTCCGAATCAATTTTGCATCCGGGAATGGAACAGCACACGAACACGGCGTGCGTTCGGCGAGCAATGGCACTCTTCACGGTAATACGCATCAATTGCCAGCGGAATTCCCGTAGGCGTCGCAAAGGCGGCTTTACAATTCAATTATATATCTAGGGGCTGGTACAGGTACACGTTCTCACTCGCGGCGTACGTCGGCTTAATGCCTTCCCTCGCGCGCAACGGATAATTAAATTAACGAACTAATAAAAGCAAGACGTGCCCCGGTCGACTCTGCGCCCGGTACCATCGCGATACCTTCGGAATCGACTTCCGAAACTTCGCCGATAAATTCCCGAACATTTTTAATCATTCAACATGCGGACTGGCTGTGAAATTTCTTTTCCCACGTGTGTCTCGACGTAATCAGGCACGTTGCTCGAAGTTGTCACTAAAGCCAGGAATATAATACGGCTTTCAAGGGAGCCGGTAACCTCGTAAGAGCTAAGAAATTCAATGAAACGTTAATACAATATACAAGAGATGCGTTCTAACGCGAGTAGATGTAACGCGCATAGTATCTCGAGATTATGGGTTCGGCGAACGTCGCCTAGTTGATTGATCGATCGGTTTCGATGGAAACCGGGAAATGTACTTAAGATTCGACGCGCATCCCTCCTTCCTTTGTGCATTACGGACCTGGAAAACTTCAATGAAAATCATTTCACTTATTCGAGTTCAAAATTAATTTTGACCCAATTCCGGGAAAACTGGTTCCTAGATTCCAGCGTCCTATTCAACTTTCTCATACGTGCCATACTCTCGGGGACGCTATTTATTCGAATTAAACGCAGCCGGGTAAGTTTGTCGGACCCGTTGCGGTGGCCTAAGGTGAGAGCCGCCTCGCGTCTGACCATCCACCCACCGGATTCCCTTGGAAAACTTTTCTCGACACGACACGGACTGGTCTCGTTCCCGCTCAAATTCACTCCCCAAGTCGGGGAACGTATTTAAAAATATAATGTTAACTAAACAGAGAAAAAGTGATCCGATTTCATGGTCAATATTTTTCTTTCATCCTTGAAGCAAATAGGATATTTCATTCGAAGTGGAATAAACTCGCGTCGATTTCTTTTCTATCGCACGTACTCCCAGCTGCCTCGGAATACTTTTCGAGAGCTGGGGCAACGTCGGATGAACGGTCTGTAATTATTTGGTAAAAGCTGCGCTAAATAGGGATTTCTCAATGATAAGTAATGGCTTTCGATAGAGCGGTAGAAACTATGATTAAAAAGTAATCTCCGGGGGTATTTAAACTTCTCCCGTCGTAATCACTCTGATGCCGGGCAATTCTAACCGGCATTCGTTTCTGTAATTCCTCCCTAATTAAGGTACTGTGAGTTCAGGATGAATTTACAGGGAATAAGAAGAAGCGACTCGGCGATGTATGCAAATTACCAAACCGGGTGGGAACATTGCCGTGGAACTTCGTCGGTCTTAATAAACCGTCTGCTGTATAATGATTCGTCTCGCGAGTTAATATAATAACGGAATTTATGCCGGGAAGGAATACGCGGCTATTAACGGCGACTGGGTAAAGAATCAGTGATAAGTTGCACGGTTCGAAAAATTAAGATGCCGCTTCACTCTCTGTTTGCGCGACTCGCTGCCGCTTTTTCCCACCGAGACAAGAGACTAATCAGATCCTCGCTGACGACGGTTCCCTCTCTCGTTCCGTGGAAAATTTATTTTCCTCCTCACTGGCAGAAACACTCCGCTTTGTTTTTCACTGCCCGCTCTTCTTAATGATATTCGCTTGTAGTTTTTGCCTCAGTTTGGTTTAGAGAAGTTGCAACGTTAATTAAATATTTCTGGGAAATAATTATTTCACAGGCTGCCAATTTATAAAAAATTTTATATATTTTGTATGATGTTTATAATTTTTGTGTAATATCAGTAATTGAGAATGTTTTAACATTGTCTGATACCCACTGTGAGGGAGTTAGTACAAAGGTGAGGCATGAAGCGTGAATTTATTATCAGACTTCATTTATTACCGCGAGCAAGATGATTTCTAATTAACGCGCGGAACGAGGAAACTGTCGAGCTCGATCGTCCATAATATATCCGATTAGCGCCCGTTCATCGATATCGGCGAATCCAACTAGTCCCAATCTCGGACAAAGCCTCGTTTCGCGTTAATTGATCGCGTAATCTGCGAATACCTCCTCGCCAGTCTCGACGAAGGTGCGAAGCTTCCACGTTCCTCGCGTGTTCCAGCAATAAACGAATCTGAAACAGCGGTCTCCGAGTCAAAGATCGAGTCGTCCTTGTTATAATATGGCTTGCAACAACGTAATTAGGCTCAATCGAATCCCTGTTATCCGGGTTTCGAAATTGAACGCGATTCTGTGGTCACGCGACATCTCACGCGTTTCGTGGTTGACCGATCAAATAGACGTTGCGTTCACTGTTAGTTACGAAAGGATAAACCCGTACTGTTGGATAAATAAGGTGTAACTCCGTAGGTAATATGTTACGTAAATTACAGATATAGTATTTTAAATATTAGTTTGTCAAAGAGTACTTTTACGATTCGAATAAAATATTCTTTGGCTGTGGTAGAGCTTAAAAAAGCCCTAAACATTGATAATGATAGTATGTAGCTGTAGTTGTCAGATACAAAAAAGGATCTATGCAATTTCCTTGTAACTTCACTTGTTGAGGAATAATTGGCGACGAGTGAAATAATTAATCGATAAGTCCTGAAGTATTCAAGGTAGAAGAAAAGTGTATGCAACCTTTCTTGCNATTAATCGTACTTAACTCGTTAAATATTGAAGTTAAAAGATAAAGTCATAGAATATTTGTCCCAAGGACCCTGAATCATTACCCCAAGCTGTAGAATTATCATTTAAACATTATAAGCATCTTCAATCATTTCTCACTTATGTGTTTTATTAAATGATCAAATGGGCTACTGTTAAAACTCAGGAGTTATCGAATGGCGTTCGGGTAAAGTTAGCTATCCACCTCTTTGTTTCCAGTTGAGTAGTCGAACTCATTCGCACTGTGTGGAGTGTAATAATCGGCCTGGGCTCAGGACATTGAACGTCTTATTTAGTGTCGGTCGGAATTAACCGAATCCTATCCCGACGGGTTATGATCTTGATAGAACCCCTCTGAAACTTTTTGTCGTCACGGACATAACTTTCTAATTAAAAGTATTTTCGAGATTAACGAAACGAACGGTATATTACTGTTTTTTCCTGACTCTGTCAAAACATTTCTGGGGCGTTTCCAGGGGTACAGAAACCGCGATAAGCTATCTAGTATTAAGTATTATATATGAATAAACTACCATTTAGCCAACCGGATTGAAATTAAAAATTGATCACATACATAAATGATCATGAAATCCTCATTAAACAGTTTCCGAATTTTCATAAATGTGGCAATTGGAATATCTGGTTATAACAGAAATTTCGAGGATTTATTGATACAATAAAGGAAGATATTCATGAAAAGTAATTACATTTATCGTATCAATTGCCTTTTATAAAACAATCACGGTTTTTCAAGCTTCAATTTTGTAATTATCTATCGACATGCACGCGTGTTTCTTGACAAAGGAGCAGTATCAATATAATTAATATGGAATATTGTAGATCCGGAGAGTTAACAATAATCTCCTGTTCAATTTGTGACCCACGTAATGACGTATTAAAACTCATAATACTCCAATATGTTATCCGAAAATCATTAAATGTTAATTCAGACTCCGCCACACGATTACGTTATGTAAATAATTACTCCATTAAAACGGACACTGTTTCCAGCTCTACTAACGAGTAGGTCTCGTCGACGATTTTTCGTCGACAAATAAAAAAGTCGCAAAAACAATCGCGAGACATTATAACAATTTGTCAATAATTAAACGGTAATTATGCGGGCGGGAATCATTTCGGTCAATAACGAAGTGGAAATATTTACGGGCAAAAGCGTTTTGAATACGTGGCTGAAATCCTGTCTAGGTCAGCCACCGTGGTTTTCAAGAGACTCCTTGTTGGAGCCTCGAAGCGCGCCGTACCGCGCGCGTGATGCACTCGAAGAAGCAACTTTTCGAATCCGCAGAGCAACGTCCTACTTGAATGCGTGTGGTCCGTATAATTAAGGCTGCGAGATAACGAAGCTATCGTCGGGAACCATACCCTAACTCCGTCTAGTTTCATCGTCGTCTTTCAAGAAAATACTGAATCAAATATAAGTCTTGTGAATTGCAGGATTACCAAAACTGGTTTCGATTGATACAGAAAAATTTCTTGAGTAAAACTAATACAAAAATCGAAACAGGTTTCATTTTATCGTGTCTGCTGCGATTGCTGTAACAGGCAATGTACAGGCCTCTTATTCTGGATCAAGCATGAGTCCTGTGAATTGACGAATTATCAAACATAATTTGGATTGATTTAGGGAACTTTATTGAGTAGAAATAATTAAAAAATCCAAGCAGCTTTCGTTTTATCGCCTGCCATTATTATAGCCCCATCGTCTCTTACTTTGAATCAAACACAGATCTCGTATATTGATTTAGCAAAAATGGTTTTAATCTCTATCGGGAAATTCATTAAGTAGAAACAGTAAAAAAATTGAGGGAGCTTATATATCTTCGCCTCTATTATATCCACGTCGTTACTCTATGGCAAAGGCTGTTCGCACAAAGCATCGTATCTTCTTTGCATTGATGGATGCCGTTATATTAGGCCCGCGTTGAATTTCGTTAAAGCACAGAGAATGGTGTACATTGTACATCGAAGGCCTGGTCGTCCTTCAATATCGTTTCACGGGCGGCTCATACATATTTCGATCACTGAATGGAAGCGTTCCAGGATACGTGACTATTTTAACTCATGATAGGGCCAATCGTCCTCCGCGTAATTAGGGCAGCCAAACTCGTAAATCTCCGTCTTTTCCGCGTTTATTTCCTGTATGTACGGTTGCAGATATCGATATTCCAAGTCCTGCTCGTACGTGATCCATTTTTCTCGGGGCAGGTACTGTTTCAATACGTCCAACTGCAACGCTCGTATCAACCTGGAAATAGCTGGTTTAATTCTCGCAGGCTACTCGGGGATTTACGCATAGTTTCGCCTTGCAAATACCGCGAATCGAATATTCAGAAGCCACGTACGGTGGGAATTTCGTTCCCGCCCGAACCGTGTGTAATCCCACCTGAAATTTCTCGCGTCCAACACGTCTTTCGGCAATCGACGTAACGCCTCATGAACAACGGTCGGCTCGTAATCCAGCACATCATCCGTATATAGACCGTACCGTTTGTAAATGGCCAGCTCGAACCCGAGCTTCCTCATTCTATATTGCCAATTGCTTTGCCCGCCTCCCTTTTGACTTCCGTAACGCTTGGTTAAACTCGCGGCGGGCCTCAGTATTTTCAATATCCTCGACATCATTCACGATGTAATCCTAAAAGCGAGGAAACAATCGACTTTCGATCGAGTCGGACGATATCGACGTTCCTCCGAAGTTTCACGGTTATAAGTTGCCCGTTGATCTTCGATAAACTTCGAAAGAATCGTCGTTGACTTTTAATCGCGGCGCGAAAGAGGAAAGGACGGATTCGGTACGAATTGAACGAGAGGTGAAAGTTTTAAAGCGTTCTTTATGAAATTACCGGATAGACAATGCCCCGCGTGAAAACGCTTTGTTACTCCGGTACTAACGGCGGGCAAACACCAAGAACGGCTGGAGGAGCGCGGGCGACGCTCGTCAGGAAGAAAGATTAGACCCGTTGCTCGACGATACACTTTCGCCAAGTTCCCGGCACGATTACCCCCGCGGGAGCTTAACTCTGTTTAAAATTCAACTTCCCTGCGTGGCCCGTCCATTACGGTACGTAGACTCTTCCAATTTTTTTCCGAAAGAAATTGAATTCCACGGAGGACATCCCATGGTACGGAGCGACGACTTGTTTGTCGCGTTTAATGAATGAACCATGAAGACTGTGCTAACTCGTCTGAGAGACTGTAAATCCGATCGAGAACTTTAATAATTCTTTTGTAATGCGCGTCTCGAATGAAACTTTCAAATGGTTTAGGTGCAAGAAAGATTAGAAGTTTATGTACGTAGATGCGGGGTTAAAAAAATGAAGACGCATCTTGACGGGGTGTTTTAAAGAGGCGAACACCCGAGGCGCGGGAAGATGGTTGTTTGCCAGGATTCAAATGCCTGCATCCGGCACTATCTCACTCAGATTCCCACTGCCGTGTACAAAGTGTTAAACATTAAAATACGACGGAAAATGGAAAAGGAAATTATTCTTGTACAGTGTTCCACGGTGTCCGGACCGGAGAGACGTTCGTTCTGCCGTGCCGATTTATGCGAGAGATCAGGCCGAGACAAGCCGGCCGGGCGCGTGTACGTTTCCTCTGGGAATATCGAAACTCGCAGGAGACCGTGTATAGGAGTTAGAAGAGGATTTATGTCGGTGGCACGTTACCAACCGTGGCACTGGCTGACCACCCCTTTATCGTTCCCTCTGTCCAGCTTCCGCTCGTTTCACATACACCGCTGTACCCTTTCGATGGATCTCCTCGGTTTTCTCGAAACGTCAGACAAAAATTGATAATTCCTTCCTCGAATGCTTAAGCATTCTCATTCGGTTTGAACATACCTATTTCTCGCATAAGACTGCCATAAGTAATAGCTTCTGGGCGCCCTACGTTTTTTCTTTACGATTTATACACGTCAACGTGCACGCGTGCAATCTACGGCATGTCACAGGAGAGTTTCAAACGGAAGAGAACCCATTCGTCTCTCGCCGGGACGCGGACTCGTCCACGCGAGGATCCACGCGAATTTCTAGCCGACAAAGTGGCGGTGGCGGGAAAGTTTCCTGCTCGGGTTTACAATTCAGAATGCCGCGTCGCTTTGACGCGCGCGTGGAAAAGTTGGATTTTAGCTTCCGGGGCTTCCGCGGAGAGTCTGGGATGAAGGACGCTTCGGGGATGGATTTGTAGAGAATCTTCTTAAAGTATATATTGCGTTACATGGCTCGATCAGGAAATTAATTCAGAATTTTTTATGAGCTATTCAAAATTCAAGGAAGTTAGTAAGAGGTGAATACTTTTTATCAGTTTGATTAACTAATTAAAATACGTGTATTGAACCGACTCGTACACGAATGAAAGGATATAAACAATTTTTATATAATAATTTATATGAAAGATGAAAATTACTAAATAATATAATTAATCTTATATAACGTAAACTAGAATTTCGTCTGTGATTAGGCATTAAAAGATATAAAAGGTAATTCAATTAAATAATTAAACTAGCTAGTTTATTAAGTGAACTGAAGTACAAGAAGCAGAGTATAGTTCTTGAACCTTTTATTAACATACGAATTAATAATGACCGGTAACATGGTGGCTGCTTAATATTTCCAGAGGCTTTCGGTGTCCCGGAAGAGGATTTCGAGAGTTCCATCCTTCGAATGCTGGGCTCGTGCGAGCTACATTTCCTTGGAGAGAAACGAATCGTCGAAGGTCCAGCTGCGGTTCCAGTAAATCTCGAGCTTCGGGTTTTCGGTCGGTCACGTTTACGCAGCCAGCGTGATTCCGAGGTAAGTGGTCTTCTTCTTTTACCCATGAACGAATACGCCTCCAGGGATTCGTAATCGAGCGTGGACTGCGTAAAAGTAAATCCTCCCTTGATAAGTCTTAAGCCATCATTTACTGTGTATAAAAAATTCTGACAGATGTAGAAAACCTCAATTAAACAATTATAAGTCGTATATATCATATAGAAAGCATATGAAAACAGATCTTAGAATAAATGAATAATAGCAATAAAATTATTAATTACTAAAACTGAAACTTCCATCCAATTTGAAATGAACGGTCGTTAAATTTTAAACGACGTTGAAAGTAATTCAGAAGTTCTTCACTTTAAAAATATCACAAATTTTCATTTTTTCGTTCACAATCTTGTAGCGTTTCATTCGGTTTTACAATATGTTTTAAGACTTATGAATGAGGGTGTACTTGGGGTCGAGAGGTCGTCTTTTTACGAGCAGACTCGGCGTTTTTCGCCTCTCGAGTTTTTCGTCTCCGCGACGGAAGTCGCAGTAATTCCGTGGATACCGCGAGTGACTGGCCCTCTCGAAAAAAGACGCTGTGACTCGTCCTTCCTCGAGAAGTCACTTCGGAGTTATGATCGAACCATCCGACTACGAATAAAGCTCGGGTTATCCGTGAAGTATAATCTACGCGAGAGAAGGGATGAAGAGATATTTTCGATCCCACTTTTGTCGACCGTATCGATACTCCTCGTTATCGCTTTTGTCGAGGACCGCTGCGAATTTTTTCAGCGAAGATTCTCATAAAATTTGGTACGGTTTTACGATGGCTGCCAAATAAAGGCAGTAACGAGCGTTGACGTCGTAAACCGAAATTTCAATTTTCTCCTAGCTGCGCACAAATCAATTGAAATAAATATTAGGTAGGTTGTTATTAATCGACTCGATTTAACTCGAACCGTGCCACTCGAGGATACATCGGGACCGGTTAATTTGATTATATTGCAATTAACGAATACGTACATTGATACTCGTGTAGATATGCGGAACGAAATTTCTCACCAAATATGCAACGTGCGTTGGAAACATGATTAATTAAGGAACGCGCTCGTCGGCGGTCGTTACCTTAAATTCCGAACCGACGCGGGTAATTATCCAGCGTTGGTTCGCACGCAAATCGTTGCCTTCTGTACGATCATTAGTTATGATGTGCGTAACGTAAAACGTTAACAGGTTTGTGCGTTATCTTTCGTTTACGTTTAATTTAATCTGATAAAGTTACGGTTCTTTTGTTCGTTGCAAGAGACTCGTAGCAACCCAGCCATGTAATAACCGGGCAAACCACCCTTTCCTTCGCGAAGCAGCCACTCTTGGCGAAAACTTCCCGAGTTTTATCACGGAACACCGTACCTTCGTTAGAACGCCGCACTTTTTTACCTGTCTTCACCAGTTAACGCGTTAGAAATTAATTTTACTCGGTAATAGCCAATAATATACTTAATCAGAATAGTTGATATATGTACATATGCAGTTGTGTGCTTAAGAAATAGTTACATGAACTTATGCACATGATAATGCACATTCTTCAATTATATCCAAAGTCTGCAGTCTGAATATAAATTTTTTATTGATATTGATTTTTTATGATATTACGTCGGAGTATTTTCATTGCTCTGTGAATCCCAGCAGCATCTTTTGCACTATTTAATAATGTTTTCAATAATCCTCGTTCTTTTTAGGTTTCGGTTTTTATGAATGAATTTAATTCAGTAATAAGTATTAATAATATATTTAATTATGAAAGATGGACGTAATTATACATTTGATATAAGATTATTATTTAATATTATGGTTTCCCAACATCGAAGCTCAGAGACAGTGGGCCCACTTTCACTGCTCTGTGAACACCAATTCCAGTAGCTCCCTTCACGTTGTCTAACAGTTTTTTCATCACTCTCTGGCCCTCGTTCTCTTCAGGCTTGACTTTCAGCTTCTCCAAGATGAAATCTAGAATCTTTTTAACCGGTTGCCCGGGTAAACCGATTTCGTGATGTCCGTTCTTGATCGGGAACAAGTCCGAGAGATTCACCAACCGCTGATCGATGTGGCCCTTAAGATTCTTAGCGAGTTCCTCCACTTTGCCTTGGAAAGTATCATCGTCGACTTGTCGCTCGCGGGAGTGTTGATCCTCGCCGCGATCCCTGAAAAACAAAAGAAAGAGGCTGAACACCGCGCGCCAGTCGGATCTGGGCTAAGTTTGCCGTTCGGATTGAAAGCTTGCCTCGAGAATCCGGAATCGCGAGTGCCTCCTTTCTCCCGCCTCGCCGACCTCACCCATCTTCGATTCAATTTCCCCGTGGAAAGTTGCCCGTTTTCCACGAAATCGGCCATTCCTGGTCGTCCAACTATGCGAACTTTGTCGTCGGATACCGCCAGTTTATCCTCTGGAACTTGTCGGTCTCCCAACGTGGTTTCCTTGGTCCATTTCTTGCCGGGCAGTGAAAAAAGAGATTCGATACGTTCTTCTGTTGTTGCGATAGTTTTCCCGTGAGGGAGAAAGAAACGCGAGGTAATTAAACCGCGTCGTTGATAGAACTCACCTGTCCGAAGTTTTTCCGAAGTTCGTCGAGAGTCTTTTTATCGACGGCGCGGGACTCTCCCGGTGTAATTATTTGATTTCCATTTATACTCAACTGCGCCTCGCAGTTGAAGAGAAGACAGAAGCAATAAAACCCGAAGAGGAGAAATTGGCGTGTCGAACCCATCTTCGCGTTAGAAAAGTTATTTGGTACCGCTGAATCGATCCGCGCGCTTTTTATACGAGCAGTAGATATTATTGCGTCAATCGCGAAGCGTTCGATGCTAATTAACGTTTGCACAGTCTGCTGCTCTCATTGTGTGAAATCATTTGAAAGATCGTTTTGGAGGGAAGATAAGGAACCGGAATTTCAGTTCAAATTAAATACAGCTGGACCTGTCTGGCAAACTGACAGACACCTCGAGGACGCGTTCCCAGATGAGAGTCGTGTCGATTGTATCGCGTCGAAGATCGACCGGGATAGTTTCGAAGAATAGCATCGAAAATATTTTCGAGAATTTTCTCCTGTCGGCGACAGGATTTCCAGAAAATCGGGTACCAGCACCGGCGTACACCAGGACGGGAGGGGAAGGGGTGTAACTCGGGCAAGAGGGTCGAAACTTCCTCCAACTATCGTCGTTTTTCATACAACTTTTCTGCTTCTTTCGCGAACACTCGGTCATTCGTAACATTTTTGCGGGAAACTTTATCGCCCTGACGATTATTATAGCGCCCGGTCCCTTCGAAGATCGACCGGTGCGAGCGATAGGTCTTCGGGAGGGGAGAAAATAAATTCTTTTCAATCAACGCTTCCTTGTACGAATGCTATACTCTAAAGAAAAAATCCTTTGGTAAACCGAGTACAAACCCGTTCCGCTTCCACAGAACACGTCACGCGCGAACCGCGTGATCACCGGCTAATTGTGAACGAACCTTTAACACGCGGTGGTGCGCCGTGTTGCATCTCAATGCGGCGAACACCTTCCCTCGGTGCTCGTGAAAAGAACGTTGCACAAAGAAGCTTTCTAGCAGAAGTCTACGAAATAAGAACCCTCGAAATTCTCCTCGTCTCTCCGCGCGATTATCGACGAGAATTCTCTCTCTGCCAAAGACGTTTTCATTTACGCTCGACTATAGTAGCATTATTTTTTTCCACGAAACGTCTGATAATTAAACAGCATGTTTATCGTTTAATAGAATTTCGGAATATTCTAAGGACGACCGCTGGCCTAATTATAAGAAACCTGTTTCGCGCAAATGGAATCGTAATCGGAAGTTCCGAGCGCGCCCGACATTTCGGACAGCAATTATCGCGACCGGAAATGGAAACGGTAGCCGTGGCGTGACCGAATGAACCGTGCGAGCGGCAAATCGACGCCTAGTTCCAGTAAATTTGATTCGGTTCGCGCTTAGATTTATTAAGAAGCATCTGGGCGAGTCGCTTAACGACAAATTGGACTCTGAAATTACCCTCTTGTATGAATAATTCCGGCCCCGTTAATACGTTCGATTTTTGGAGTGGATGATTGAAACGTCGGATGTTCATTTCATGTACCATTTATTGTCAGTGATCGATACAGTAATTACGAGAAAAGGGGTATTGTGCATCTTTATTGTACGAATTTTAATATGCGTCGAGAATTACACGGATTCCTGCGCCTTTCTGTACTCGAACACGCTCCCGCGTTCGACGAATCCTCGAGCACTCTGTTGAACTGAAATTGCTTGTTCGCCGGGAATACCATAACCGCCACCTCCGGGAGTCTCCAAAAGAAACGTATCCTGTACAGAAAAGTATTAAAATCGATGGTACGCTCTATGAAACTTGAAGAAGCGGAGAAAAAGTTGGAAACGAGCAATCGTATTCCGAATATTTGTTCTCCCAGATAATAGCGTCACAAATTTTTTAAATAACGTACAGGTCACCGAGCCACAAATAACTCCATAACCCAGCGGTCGAGATAAAATCTTTTACGGGCCGGGCGTTGTAAAACTTGGATGGGTTCGTTTCTGTTTCGTCTATTCCGCCGTATCGGATTTTTACAACGACACGTAAATTTTTCATGCAATTCATAGTCGCGAATCCGTTTCTTACCCCGGGACAAACCGGCACCGCGGTCTTAGATCCGAGATTGATCTTCCTCCCATCGGCTCTGAGCAACGTGTTTCTTCCTTTTTCCCCTGGCTGACCTCCAGCTAATCCTGGCGGACTGTGGACTCTCCTTTCTGTCAGCACCGACAACATCATGTTTGCTCTACAAAACATAATAAATTTTATTTTCTGACCGATCGATCACTTGATAATAATAATTACCTGAAAGTAATCTCACGGACGACTCCATCGCCACCGGGATGAGCGCCCCGTCCCCCACTCCCAGGTCTCAGAGAAAATTTGTTAAGAATAACTGGATAACGAAGCTCCAGTATCTCCGGATCGGTGATTCTGGTGTTGGTCATGTGCGTGTGCACTCCCCCTCTACCGTTCCACGTCGGTCCCTTTTTAAACAATCGCAGATAAATTTGGAATTCTCGGTGGAAGTAGGAGGAACGAAGATATCGAGTTTCTTACTGCTCCGCTGCCGCCAGCGACAGTTTCGTAATAGCCCCATTCCTCAGTGCCGAATGTCACATTATTCATGCAGCCCTGCGAGGCCGCGCAAGCTCCGAAAGCCTGCAGAACTACGTCGACAACACGTTGAGACGTGAGGACGTTCCCACCGACCACGGCTGCCTCCTCCGAAGGGTCCAAGAGCGATCCCTTGGGAATAATTATTTTCACGGGTTTCAAACAACCCTGAGAACAGACAAAGTCGTCGTTAAATAAATTATTACTTAGTAACAATAGACGATTTTTTTAAAAAACGAATGTTACCTGGTTCAGGGGAATGTCTCGTCCAACTATGCTTCTCAAACAGTAAATCAACGCTGACAGAGTGACCGCGCGAGGTGCGTTGCAATTACCCCATACTTCGTACCCTGTGCCACTGAAATGTTCGCATTTCTTGAACTTCCGAAAATAGAATTTATTTTTATGAAAATGCAGATTTTATGCACAATTTTATTTCATTCATAAATATTTTATGCATAAAAATACGCAGTCTGGTTTTTATGTTTGAAACCCACGTGAAATCGCAAACCGCTTCGCCCTTCTCCACATTAACGTTCAAAAAGAATTTGATTTCACTTCCGTCGTCGAGATAATCCACAGCAGTCGCCACGGTGTTCCCAGTTTTCTCTAAAAGCTTTTCACCGACAGACTTCAACATATCACGGACAGCGACCTCGGCGTTGTGTTGAATGTGGCCCATGTAAGCTTGCACCACGTCGAGACCATAAATATCAATCAATTCATTGACCAATAATGAACCCTGCAATTACAATTTCTTAACAATTTTGAAGGAGAGAGGGGAATCATGATAGTTACTTTATGATTGGCTGCGATCTGAGCTTTGAGATCGCTCAAGTTTTCTGACAAATTTCTGGTTCCGGAACTTCCTGGAATCTTCCCTGGTGCCATCAACTCTTCCGTCAATTCTTTCTCCCTGAACACGCCTTTGTGCACCAATAAAAAGCTCTTGAAAGCTGCACCTTCCTATGACAAAATTCTTCGTTAATCAGAATAAAAGAAAAACTGGAATTATTTAAATTGTAAAATTTTCATACTTGACTCAACGAGGTCGAATGTGGAGGCATGGAACCAGGCGTGATACCTCCAATATCAGCATGATGCCCTCTGCTTGCCACGAAGAACACCGGTTTTTCCACGTCTCTATTAAAAAAGAAAGAACAACGTGAAAAAAAAGACAAATCAATCGTATTCCGAATATCGAGAATAAATTACTTGTAGAATACTGGAGTGATGACAGTAAAGTCTGGAAGATGCGATCCTCCGGCAGAGGGATGATTCGCGAGAATCACATCCCCTCTTGAGAATTCACCATTGAAAACCTTCATTTGATACTGAACAGTTTCTTGCATAGCGCCCAGATGCACGGGTATATGCGGGGCGTTGGAAACGAGGCCACCGTCAGGACCGAAAACCGCGCAGGAGAAATCCAGACGCTCCTTGATGTTCGTAGAAATCGACGTTCGTTGGAGGATCCTTAAAAATTTATTGAAATAGATGCTCTGTTTGATGGATCGAACTCGCGTTAACTACAGATCTACCTGCCCATTTGTTCGGCGATGCTCATGAAACGATGAGAGAAGATACTCAGCTGGATAGTGTCCAACTCGGTGGTGACCTCGACTCTTGGTCCTTGACCGATCATTATTTTCACATCGCCTTCAGACGTTATCGACGCGGTGCAATCGGGTTCGACCAGAAGGGTGCTCAAACTGTCCATGATAATCGCCGGGCCGTAAATCACGTGGCCAGGTGACAGTGAATGCAACTGATATACTTTCGTCTCGAGATATCCATTCTCAAAGTATACCATAGTGGTCTAAAAGTTAGGTATAATATATATTGACATGTAGTTGTCCACACAACGTTATCAACAGCTTGAGCAATCATAAGGCTCACTATGGTAGAAAATAATATTTTTCATTTAATTAAGAGAACCACGTGGATTAAATTTCCCTCTGATTTACCTTCTCTAATTTTGGTGGCTCGTTGGATTGAGGCAAAATTGAGTCTCCCTCGATGTCCGTTTTCCCTTCGCCCCTCACTCTGATATCGTTCACAAGGACTTTGCGGTTGGGCATAGTGAATCCGAACTCTGTCTGATATCTTAATCAAAATTCGTATTCCCTTTCATTTCCTTATTAAAGTGCATCAAAATAATTGCAATCTTTAATGCAATTACTATTTATAAACCGCAATTATTTATGTAGCTAATTGAGATTCACCTTTCCAAGAATGTAGCGAGAAAATCTCCGTGCTTTGTGCTGTTGGTTTGAGTATGTGACTTAGGAGTGCACATCAGAGCACAGTCTGTCCCTTGGTAACGCAAGTGTAAAAAGGGTTCGGTGATTATATGAGAATCCGGGAATCCTTGCGCGGCTAATTTACCACGAACTCTCTTCGTCAGGACGTCCAGTCGTTCATCCAAACGAGCAAACGACTCTGAATAAAAAAAGTTAATTGGGTCGATTTATTTTTAGAAAGCAATTGATATCACAGAAATATTTTATATAAAAGTCAGCAGACTATTTATTATATAAAGTAGGGGGTCGTTTATTATTTTAGAATATATATGTATACATACCCTGTTCATAAACTTCAGCGCTGGGTTCCTGGGCTTCTTCCACAACGTCAGCCAAAGCCATACCATAGGCCGAAAGAATCCCAGCGTATTTGTGAACGAAAACAGTTCGCATTCCCAAGGAACGCGCAATGGCACACGCGTGTTGCCCTCCTGCGCCCCCGAAACACGCTAAAACGTGACGCGACGTATCGTAACCCTTTCCCTATCCGAGAAACGTAATTAAAAAAATAGCTTCAGATAGTATTTTACAATTTTCTCATATTCTCACCTGCGTCAGGGCTCGTATAGGTCGGCACATAGTTTCATTCGCGACTCTGACGAAACCCATCGCCACTTCTTCGACGCTCATGTCTCCTCCATGCCCTTCTTTTGCTAAGAAATCATTTATCTACAAGACGAGAGGTAAATCGTTTATGTAATGCAAATTTGGTTGTCTTTGGGTAAAATCTGAAACGATTGGTACTTCGCTCGTGAGCTTATGGAAAGCTTCCATTGTTCGAGACTTGTCTAGGGGTTCGTTCTCGTTCGGACCAAAGATTTTCGGGAAATATTCTGGTAATAACCGACCTAATGCCAAATTCGCGTCGGTGACAGCCAGTGGTCCATTCTTCTTGTAACACGCCGGCCCCGGATGGGCTCCGGCGCTCTCAGGCCCGACCTCGAAGAGACCTGACCTGAAGAAAAGCATTGATCCACCTCCTGCCGCAACCGTGTTCACGTCCAACTTCAACCCAAGTTCATTTATATCTCATAATTTAATTTACTATTAAATCATAATTAGGTACTCGTAACTCTGCATATTGGAGTGAATTTTGAAATTATAATCGATATGCTGCTTGAAAAATATTCATTTATATATTATATGTATATTTCCTATGAAAAATAACTTGAAATCGTAGCAATTTTTTCAAATATTAATTTACTGATTCAGTGATAAATCTTTTATTATATTTATATAAAAAATATGCAAGAGGAAAATACCTGTGGAGCTTGAATCGTTACACCAGCGGTTGTGCTTTCATAAACGTGCTCGTAGCTGCCAGCGTAACGACTGACATCAGTCGACGTGCCACCCATATCGAAACCAATCACCGGGAGGTCGGTTTCTTTGCTATAAGTTGTCATTGCGTAGCCTACAACTCCGCCTGCGGGACCGGAAAGAATAGCTCGAGATCCGGTGAATCTACAAAACATTAAAAAGCCATTTAATATAATTAATAATAATCTAAAGAAAGGTCAATCGTATTGCATTAATTTAATGAGAACTCACGAATTCATCGCAGTCAATCCTCCATCGCTTTGCATAAACAATACGTTCACACCTTTTAAATTATCTTTGAAACCGGATACGAATCCCTATAAATGGCTTCCAATAATTTCTGTTGAAAATTAATTAGACAAATTTACGTTACCTGTAAATATTGTTTAATATGCGGCGTCAAATATGCATCGGCGCAAGCGGTAAATCCTCGGGGAACTATCCTCGCCATTGGCATGATTTCATGCGATAACGACACTTGCAGAAAACCTGCAAGCTTCGCTAACTCCCCTACTCTTCGTTCTTGTTCAGCAAACCTAAATTAAATGAAGAAAAAATTAATATTATTAAAAATCATATAATAATATGATTTTTTATAAACTGACATGTAACTGTGGGCGAGAACCACTGCTAAACTTTCGATTCCTGATTCTTTTAATTCTTCTAGATCCTTCTTTAATTTAACTTCGTCAAGTTCTTCGATGACGAAGAGATCTTCGCCAGTGGATCCTTTTACTCTTCTCCATTTGCTGCTGTCCAAGAGACATTTACCGGGCAGTGCGGGTATCGCTCTGCATTTCACTTCCACTACTCTTTTATATAATACTTCTGGAGTGGCTACTTGCTGCAAAAGAATCACATTTTCTATTCAAATAAGAAATAATAATATATTATATAGCATAATATTTATTCAAACATTTAATATTTATTAAGCACAAACCAGGTCGAATATATTCGGTCGAGCTTGATTTCCAATATAGAGAAGATCCTTGAACCCTTCGTTTATCAGTAGGGCCATTTTCGCACCTTTTCTTTCCAAAAGAGCGTTTGTGGCAACCGTAGTACCCATTCTTATCCATGATATCGAGGAACCATCTATTTCTCCATCAATTTTCTTCCCAGTTTCCTGAAATTTTCATTCATTTATGCAAAGTAAAGTCTGTAGAATATTCATTTAATAAGGATTTTTCTTAAATTCATTAAATACCGTAATATGTATTTTGTCATTAATATTTTATCATTTTGTGATATATTCTTTTTTATGTTTTTCCATATTTTGCTATAAATGCATAAAATCCGTATTACGCAATTTATTACACTAAATCGTAGATTCTATATATTTATAAGAAAGTTAGTTTGAAAAATATACAGAAACATTATATGAAATATCAAAAACTCTACATATTTATTTATGTAGTTTTTTAAGAATGACTCTTTAAATACTGTAAGACTTCGGCATAGAAATCAGTAATCACGAGATTTCGAATTACAGTACCTGTTCAAGGATCCTGCGGATCCCTTCGCGCGGCGCGTCCTCGTAATTCGCAGGATCCACAGACAACAGTTTCATCACTCGAATTCTCCCGCCTGGGCATTTAGCGTAGACGTCGGTGAAGGTACCACCGCGGTCAATAGCGAACTCGAACTTTTGCCGAGCCATATTCCCGTGCGAACAGGTGAACAAAACCTCGACGAATGTGGGTCCGGGTCGTAGAAATTTCGGTCGGAAGAGACTGGATCGCGATAACGCGAGATAAGATCTGACCGCAACGTCTCTGTACATAAAGAGAGCAAACAAGCTGTCGCGAATGATTGTACACGATCTGGTGCTGAAAGAAAGGACGCTCACTTGGGTGATTTCCTCTTCGTTGTTTTTCGTTTATCGAATCTTGATATAAGCAGTATCGATGACGACTAGCGGTCTTCCTGCGTTGGTATGATCAACCAAACAAGTATCGAAACGTCACAATACTGTCCACGTGGGTGGAGCGATGTAGTGGTTTTTGTTCATAGTGTTTTTCCGTCGCCTATCCGAGATAACGAACGGGTTACGTAACTGCAGAATTTTCATGCAGCGAAGCCTGTCAGTCGATTGGGTCGATGATATCATCCTCGATCGGAATTATCATTCAATTATCGTTGCCCTTCGACGAGTTAGGATAATGGTACTTAGTCGTTTTAAGGAACGCTCATTTTATTGATCGTTTATTTGCCGCGCAAAATGTGACTCTTCATTACTTGCATTTTCTATTGATACTACGCATGGGTCCGAGGGTCGAGGGTCACTGTACTCCGACGCTGGAGACTGCGCACCGGCCATCTCGTCCCATCTATTAAAGACATACAGGGTGGGCGTGAAATAAGCTAGAGCCAGGGAACAAAGTCCACTCGGCTGGCATTGGTATACTTTTTCTTTCTTAACAAGGGACAATTTATTAAACTATAATGTCGCGCGGCGTTTCTTTTTTACACGCGTTATTTTACAAGAGTCGCTGTCTCTCAATCGCAATCCCTGTCCCTCCCTCGCCTTAGGAACTAGCTTATTTAATAAGTCTCTTAATCTCTAGAAATTCTATGTAACAGTTGAACACGCCTACGCGGCGGAAACAATTAATTGGAATTTTAGAACGCAAATTCTTTCACCCTCGCTACTTCGGGTCACCGAACAATGAAATGAAACTGTTAGAAAAATATCATGTGTTGTAAATGCAATTGATCGCCCGGCCTGACTCCGCGACCGAACGGTTCTAGCATTTGCGCGAACGACATTAAATTAGCCTACGCTAACTCGTTAATAAATAAAAATTATACAAAATCGAGATTTGTTTTTACTCTCGCAACTTCACGGCTTTCATAGTCGAGCTTTCCCCTGGTGGATCTTGTCGTAAATCTCTTCCGTTAGTTTCACGTACACACTGGAATCCTGGTCCAGGAAGTAAATTGGATCAGTGATCTATGAAAGAAAATGATAAAATCAACAAGTGAAATATACCGAATGAAGTGATTGAGAAATTACCTTTTTGATGTCGAATCCGTCTAGCTGGAGATCCTTTTTCTTTAATTTGAACGTACCTGATGAGAAAGAAAATTTAAATCGTTCGTTCACATCGAATAAACGCAATTTTTAGGTACTTGCCAGTCATTGGTAATTCTGATAGGATTCGAACGAAAAGTGGTCTGGCGTACATTGGCAACGACTTCTTCAAGCCCTCCGATAATTCTTTGATATTCACGCTATTGTCTGGATCGTAAATTGCTGCCATGCCAGCTTTACCTTCAGTCCCGGGCACCTGATAATTATTCATCAGTTATTTTTATACTCATCGCATAATTTTTTATCGTCAATTACCCCAACTCCGTAAACAGCCGCAGCCTTCAAACTAATCACGTTGCTAATGACAGCCTCGACTTCGGAAGTAGCCACATTTTCACCGTGCCACCTATAATAATAATTATTAACATTAATGAAACGTATGATGATTTAAAAACAGATATACACGTACCTAAACGTGTCGCCGGTTCTGTCTTTGAAGTAAAAGTATCCAAGCTCGTCCATGACCAGAATATCACCTGCGGCAAAAATGTAATTTAATCATTTAAATATTTCGAACGATTATTTTTTTTTTTTTTTTACTAACCGGTATTGAAAAATTGATCCCCCTGTTTGAACACGTTGCGGAGAATCTTCTGGTTCGACGCTTTCTTGTCCGTGTAATATCCCAAGAAAGTGTTCATCACTCGTTTCGGATTAATTTTCCCTACGAAGATACCTGGTTCACCTGAAGATACCAAGAAAATAGTTATCGAACGAAATTAATTATTCTCTGAGATCCCACGAGATCCGAAATTACTGACCGGGTATGCAACGAATGCACAAGCCATCGGGTCCCCTTATTGGTTCCCCGGTCTCCTCACATACTCTTATCAAGCCAACGGGATACAAAGACCCGGCGTACAGTGGGACGAAACCAACCGCGCCGATCTTGTTATCAATATTCACTGAAAACAGAAAAATAATTTTCGACTGTTCAAGATAATGAAAAGATCAAATAAATTACCGAGGTTCGAATTGCCTTCAGTGGCTCCGTAGAACTCGCCAATTTGCTTCACACCGAATCGTTCTACGAACGGCTTCCAGATCTGCGGTCTGAGGCCGTTTCCAAACATCAGTCGAACCTTGTGCGTGGTATCACAAGCAGCGGGTGGAGCGGTCAACAGATACCGGCAGATCTCTCCGATGTATTGAGCCACCTGCGATCAAAATATTTTCTTATTCCCGTATCTGCGTGACAACAAATAAAGGCAAACGACAAAGTAAAGTCTACTGATAAGGCTTTTATCGATACTCGTTCAAGAGCGAATTGTGAGGTGTGAATAATCTTACAGTGCATTCGTAATGGATGCAATCCGTCCAGAAGTTGGACGCGCTGAATTTTCTTCGCAGCACGACAGGGATTCCTTTGAGTAACGCCTGACCCACTCCGATTACACCACCGGCCGTGTGATAAAGTGGCAAGGCATTGTAAATGCGATCCGTCGGCTTCAAGTCCAACATAGAATTCACGCCGCATGACATAAGCATGAACCTAGAAACGTATTTGACGTACGAATTACGAAATTTCGCAAGCCAGTGTTCGCAGCTCTGTCCTTCGTCCAGGACGGATTAACACGGACTTCTCTCTCTTCTTCAATGTAAAATATTCGTCAGATGTTCAGGAAAAACTGATACCTGAGATTGTCGATAACAGCAGGCTTCGGCAGCCCTGTGGTACCCGAAGTGTAAATGCAGATCACTTTATCTGAAGGCCATCCGATGTCCAGTTCTAACAAGGGATCAGACCGTGTTTTCTCAATTTCGCAGTTAAAATGGAGTGCTCCTTCCAAGCACGGGACATCGTGCGATTCGGACCATTGGTACAGATACACGTCATACAGTTTTACCCGGATCTCATTAATCGCTGAACAGGGAATAAAAATACAATTTTTTTTATCTCATTAAATTGTTCCATTGAGTATCAGACAAAGAAGGCCTCACCGTCTTTGAAGTTCGATCCGAAGATCACGGCTTTGCAATCACTTGCTTTGATGCTGTGCAACAGAACGTCTCGGCGGAGGTTGGTGTTGATGAGAGTGCCAATCATCCCGTACTTCAATAGTCCCAGCCAGATTGCCACGTATTCGGGTCGATTTTCCAGGATCAGACCGACGCTCTTCGACCGGGATATAGGCGTGCCCCGGAAGTACCATCCCACGCGATTGCTGTATTCCTCCAACTGTGTGACAAACCGCTTCTCGTCATCGCGCTCCTTGTCCAATTAATTTCCAGCTTACCTCCCGGTAAGTCCATTCCTTGTCCTCGAAGACGAAAGCGATCTTCTCGGGGTTAGCCGCGGCTTGCCTGCTGAACACCTTGGCCACCGTCATTCTCTTCCGTTCCCACCACCATAACAAAACACTCACTCGGACGAACCTATACGCTCCCCTAACGTAAAAGAAAAATTCTGTAGGCCGACTTTAAATAAACTTTTTTATCAGAGCAAACAAGTAGATTACGAATTTAATGAGTTACGTGCAGAGAATGTGATAATTCATTACGTGCACGCGTAAATGCAGATTATTATAAAAGAAAATTGAATACAGATTGAATATTTTTTAATCGAGATAACATGAGCTGTACTCTGTATAAAAATCCGTAGGCTATTTATAAGTTAATCGTGGGTAATGGTTTTCCATTCGAACGGAGGATGCTGCTCCTGCGTAGTAGATAAGAAATGGGTCACACGGAAAGGGATTAAATAAAATGATTAGAAACGAATTAGGATAACCCCGACAATGAATACACGCTTTCTGGCTCGGTGATGTGCACGTATCTCTACCGTTGTCGCCTGTCTCTATCGCGTCTCCCCATCCCGACGTCGCCTCCTTTTCTCTCCGCCACCAATTGAGTAATTTCGCGGGTCGACACGCGCGTGACATATGTCCACACGATCGTGATCTTTCCGCAGCGTTCCTCCCGACGCTTCCCCCAATCGCTTTTACGAGCCGAGCCATGGCCAATCGAACCGTCAAATTAGGACGTTTTTCATTTTCTCGATAAACCCGGAAATTTATCGCGATAGTAATAAAGTAAGACGGTTCGTTTAAATATTATTCGATCGGTCACGTCGTGAAAAAAATATACAATAACCGCGGATTGAGTCTCTCTGTTCGATCGTCTCCGTGGAGAACATACGATACCAGCGGTCGACCCCTTCCAACCGCTTCCACGGTGATTAAATTAAGTAAAATAAAATAACTAAGCTGCTGTTCAAGTGTACGAGGCTGAAACCCACGGTTTGTGGTTTCCGTTGTCATGCGTTAATACTTGTTGCTCCGGCTCGCAGATAAAGAAGCGGCTAAAGTTCTCCGCGACATTGCTGTTTGACCCGTTCGTTCGCATCAATTCCGTGAAGTTTTGTCGGATAACAAAGGTAGCAGATTTTATCTCCAGTGATTCAGCAGGGAGAAACCGAGCATTAATACGCAAATCCGATTTAATCAGTTCAGACTATGAACTGTGGAGTTCATTCAGTGCATTTCTCCGATTTATTAGCTGATTTAATGGCAATGACTAAGCTGCTTTGATTTTAAGCGTGTGATTTTTACAATATTTTATTCGTTGCTAGATGGAGATTTTAGGTCGCTACTTTTTGATTCGAGAGAAAATTGTCGTCTCGTAGGAAACTGCACCGGCTACGGGGCTGCACCGGCACAGGGCAAATGAGACGACTTGCTATTCGAGTAGCGATAGACCAGCGCTTAATGGAATATAAACGCTAGTATCCAGCACTCGTTTTCGCGGGCAAGATCGTGACCCGTCTCTCCCTCGGCTACGTTACCTTTCCTTCCTCCTCTTATTTGTCTTTTACCCGAGGGGAAGTTTTGCAAATGATGTTTGCACGATTATGCCCGCGTTCAACACACGCGAATTTAAACGTCGCGTCACGTATCCATTTGCAATTACGCAAACACACCTGTTGCGATTCGTTTCCTTACTTGCATCTCTCTCCGTTATACGAGAAACGTCATCCTCCGGGATTCGAACCCGTGAACTACCGGCTACCTGCGAATCGCTTCTAATCGCTGCGCCAAAGTTTCGTTAATGCAATTCGTAATCATTCAGCTTGATTTTCCTAACAAGATAAGCAGTTCTAAAACAATTAGCTAATTGTTGCATACAGTTTTGAACAATTGATAACAGAGTCCGAAAAAAATTATTAATACTACAGAAAGAAACGTAGGAATTATAAATTTTCTACTAATCTTTATTGCAAATATCTTCTCTAAGATTTGACTGTACGCTTGTCTCTATTCAAAAGTTTATCTCAGAGTCTCTATTTGAACGAAGTGTTATCGATCAACATTTCGCTGAAATTGTATTAACAGGTAGTTAATATGTCCTACTGGAACTTGTTGAACAATCGACGAATCGTTGGAAACCGGTATCTCGTTTCCAGGTATGTATCGATAAAATGTGTTTCACGTCTTGAGAGCTGTATAAAAATGTACTCGTATTGCATTGGTTCTTTGATCTTAACCGTGACTCAAACCTTCTTTTCGTTCTTCTATTTTATATTTTTAAGCTTTTTGCAGACTCGTTACAATCGGTTTTGGAAAGTGTTTCTCATAATTTATAAAAGTAATATTGTTTGTGCCGCTGTGAGAATGATTTAGCAAGAGATGTGAGAAACAGTTGTTGAACATCGGTCAGGAGAATTAGGCTAATAAGGGCAGCCCTTAAAGCCAGACCTAACCGGTTGTTTTCGAGCCCCTTTTGCACGATCACTGCTCCGGGTGATCGCCTGCAAAACAATGTTATTCAGGCGGCTGTTTAAATTCCATGCGCTCCATATTGGCCCTACAATAGTCGTTCACGGGCGGCACAATGCGCGGGATGCATCCGCCGAGCGCACACGCGCGTGCAACGAGGACATCGGCACGCATACTCTGCTCTTGAGTCGTCGCGTCTCGGTGAATCAACGATCGCGATGAAAATCAGTTCCTAACGGCCGTGTGCCTCTTTCGTTTTTCATTTTCCGTTTAATCGATTTCCTCTCGAAGGTCTCGCGATCCTCGTTGCGATTAATATTTTCTTTCACCACCGATCAGATATAACATAGCATGTTTATTAATTAGTGTGCTGGAATTAGAATCTGAATTTTTTATTATAAATGCAAACAGGTTGAATGAGCATACTTCTGTTCATTTTCAAAAGAATCTAACATGCACAGTAAGGAATTTATGGCAATGTTAATTAGTCTAATAATAGGAACGTTGATAAGCAGGCTATTTAAATTTTTTTAATACTATGTTTAGTCAATTTTAATAAAGGTGCAACGAAGAGATTAACGTGTTTACGTGTAGGTCTGTTCCAGCCTTCGATTAGTAATTAGCCTGAGCAATTAAAATATGTATAATGTCTTTAACTGACAAGTACGAAAATAAATTTACGTCAGTACTATTTAATTTGACAAATGAATCATTGATAAGCAAGCTATTTAGATATTTTTAAAGCTATGTTTATTAGACTTTGAAAAATGAGCAATAAAAAGATTAACGCGTTGGCCTCTCGTTCTACTTTCGATTATTAGCGTTTCGCAATTAAAATCTCAGTTCCTTATTAAAAATGCAAATTGAATAAACAGACTTTGCTTGACGTTCGAATGAAACCGACATGTAGTATATCATATAGATAAAAATGAATTTATTTTGTTTGATAAACAGACTATTTAGATATTTTCAAAGCTGCATTTATTAAATTTTAAAAAATGGGCAACGAAGAGATGAACGCGATCACGCGTTGGCGTGTGGGTCTGTTCGGACCTTTGATCGCGTTCAATAGTATCGTGAAATTTCTTAAGTGATCTAATTGCAAAATTGTAAAGCATGAGTTAGAAGGAGAAACTCGTGTGGAACACTTTGCGCAGCAGCCTCGCTCCGAATATTAGTCCCGAACCTGTTGCTCTATTCAGGCTCGATTCTCCGATGAATGACAACGACCAAAGAAGTTTGTCTAGGAATTGTCTGCTCTATTCATATAACGAAGATTATGCACATTTTGTTTACATATAATATATCGTCAGTCGTCGGCGCGTGCTTCCCACGTTAGAAGATCGCGCGGGCTCCGGTTATCAACGCGAGCAAGAAACGTCAAACCGGGATTATCCTCAGCATATTTGTTAACAATCATTGTTGGTTTTCAAATCGACATACGGGGCACGTAATCGCCGGCCGGTTTGATCAATCGCGGCCGTGAAACGATCAAAACAATAAGCAAGAAGACGGAAAAATATTTACGCGATTATTGGTCAATTTTAATTGATCGAATCGAACGGGGAATAAATTCGGATACTCACAGCAAGTCTCTATGTAAGGTTTTGCAGATCAAGTAAATTAGTCGTCTCCGCGGTAGCAGATAAGCGCTGATGATCCCGACGAAAACGGCGATCGCGATCTCGTGCACTTCCATGATTCCGAGATAATCTGAATCGATCCAAAAAAAAGAAACCAAAAACGTTCTGAAGAACTGCGAGGCTCCGTGGCCCGATTACGCGAGCGAATGCTCGATGCCGCAATCGAACGTCGACTGAATAATCGTCGTCTACCTACCGTCTCCTTCTACCCAGCAAAATGGCTCGATTCCCCTCTGACGAACCTCCGCAGGGGAAATCAGGGGAAATCATGCCGCCCCCACTATCACTGTTAGGTTGATTATCACGTGACCGTGAGTCAGTCACATGGTTCCTGTCTGTGCTTATCCTTTCTTACTATCAGTTTTCAGCATCGCGCACACCGCGCATACCACGTGATGATTAAGCTAGGGGAGATCGTGCACTACACCGCGTTTCGTTATGGATCTTTCACATTACCGTAACGTAACTGTTACATCGTAAACATAATCAAAATCTTACGTGATGAGGGGACTCGACAAATGTCTCCGCCGTAGGAAAGAGCCCCTCTTTTCTTACGATACGATACGGTTACGTTACGGTGATGTGAATGGACCCTTAAGCGTCATTGATAGTCAGTGGCGTAGAACGATGGTAGGAGGCTCGCGTCTCGCCAAACAGCTTTTGTTAATCGTGAAGCAATGCGGTTATAAAATTTTCCTCCACCAACTATAAAACAATTAATTTGGTCGTGGCAAATGTATTCCCGCAGGCCCCCGTTCAATATTCCAATCGATTAATGAAATCAGATGGGACATCGGATGTTTGTTAAATTCGTCGGCTTGTTTATAAAGAAAAATTATGATACGCGGCATTATTTTCACGGAAGCCGTATTTCCGTGTAGGTGTTGTGAGTTGATAAAAAAACAGACTCATTGAGAAAAAGTTAAATTCCGTGGAATTGTTCGAGGGCGGGATCGATTTCCCCAGATTAAAAATAACAGGATATGTATTTATACAAACTTATAATAATAATAATAATAATAATAATAGTAATATTAATAATAATAATAATACACGTATCGCATATATATATATATATATATATATCTATGTAATAATCCATGAAAGACAGGTACAAATATACAATACGAATTCACTGAGGAAATGCGCGAGCTGTGTTTCAGTCTGCGTGCGGCCTCGGTCACGAATATTTCACGACGATGGATACTGAAAAAATAAAATCCAATGATACCGTGTGTACGCGTTCTCGTCCGTGAATGATAATAATCAAGCGAAAGTACACGCGTGCAGCAGTGAATTAGCTAGGAAGTGTAATAATGCGAAGAATTGTGGGAACGATGTTTATAAATTTCGCAACGATTATGATAAGAACCTGTACGTAATCGTTAGAACGTTAAAAAAAAGAGCGAAAGGGGTGAAGACGTGCGCGCGAGATTAGAGGAAGTCGAAAACGAATACCTGGGATCGAACGATCGAAGCTCGCTACACCGTGTTCGTTATCTGAGAACCAGGTAAAGCACCATGATGTCCAGAACTGAAAACGATACGCGTCTGACTACGATTTCTCGTTGTTTTTCTTCTTAAGAGGAAAAGATAAAAGAATATGGTGCTGCGTGCGATGAACGCATATGAATAGTAGTCCGAAGTGCTAAACTTAGAATTGAATACATTGACCACTAGATAGATTCATTGAAATTATTCTTGGCAACGGACGAATGATTGAACGCTCCCGTGTCGCACGAAGAGGTGCATTAAAAGAAGACAGCATGCGGTATTCATGCACTTCCTAATGACGATTTGCATACCAATGATGCAAACGACGACCGTGACAGTGATCGCGACGAGTATGATCCTGGTCTTGAAATTTTGTAACCAGGCTTTCTGCTGAGCTTTCTTCGCCGTCGCCCTGAACTCGTTCCCAGTCACGTTCAAACGATCACTGGCTTCCTGAAGATCCTCCAGTCTTTCACCACGCTCCATCACCTTCTGCACGTTCTCCCGCATCACCTCGGTCACTTCTTGAATTTGCAATCTGACGCTGAATAAAAACGAAATATAAGTTTTAGCGCTACATTCATTAAACATTTCTAAACGAGTGTTCGTTTATGTTTTTTAGAACAATTTTCCGATTCATGAGATTGTATAAAAGTGTAGTACAAAAACAAAATGAATTCTAGTTATGCAAACAGAAGATGTTCTTACTTGCTCATCTTCCCATCACCTTGCGTCTCCCCCGCTGACGTGCTCGGTCGACTGAAACACGAGAAATACTCATGAAAATTTTATCTAAACGATTCAACCGACCACAAAGATAGTATTTAATTAATTGAACTCACTTAAAGAGCATATTTTCATCCTGATCGCTGTCATGCTCGAGCAACAGCTCCTGAAACGAGAGAGAAATTAAATTTGCCGCCGCGTCACTCCCACCTCGTGCGATTATCGATGCCAACACGTCAGGGACTGTGTACCTTTTCGTCGTTCGCAGCACTTCTAATGTCCTCACGGGACAAATCCCATTTGCCGCTCGACGACATGTCAACCGGCTGTTTGATCGCGTTTTATCAAATCGATCGGACTGCGTCGGACTTTCTAATCTACGGCGCGCCCCGGACTCGACACGGGACGTGTAGCCATCTTGCTCGCTGGTCGGATACAAACTGGTTCTATCGAGGATTGGATTTCCCTCGAGGCAGATGGCGTTACGTCTAATAGAACGGGGTTTACTCGGGGGTGGAAGATTCTTAATATTTATCAAAATACAAATACACGATTTGCTGATAAGCAATCTTCCGATTGATAAACGATCTTTTTCTTGAAATCGCTTTTTTAAGTCGAAATTTTATAATGTATAAGGTGTGTCTTCTTGAGATGGGTCAAGGGTTGAAGTTGAAATAAATACAATTTGATTAGACATATTGCTTTTATTTCGACATAAACACCTAAGATCTAAGTTCTACCACAGAGAACAGATATTCTATAGATAACAAAATATGTACATTGATTGTCAAATTGTGTGAACGCACAGGTGCAATTCAAATCATTTTTTAAACAGTCTTGAACTTGCCACAAGTGTAAAAGATTAAGTTAAATATAAGTAAAAGAGGAGGATAATAATTATGGGTGGGATCAAGCACCTCGAACTTTGATTGTATTCAAACTCTCGAGGTATAGTCGAACCTAGTTTCGAATCTTGAATATCGTTCCAGAAATTATACGATCTTCCTATTGATTTAAAATCAATTATTTTATCCTTTAATGCTTAACTTAATCGATATATACAATTATGATTCCATAATCTATCGGATTTTCGTAAGGACACGTGTCATCATCAGTCATCAATGACAGCCCCTCTATGGCCATTTCTGTGGCCTTCAGAAAGAGTATTTTCAAAAACAGGAAATATGGATAAAAAAAAGTAGACCGAAACCAAGTATAGTAAATGGAATATTATTCTTAAATAGTTATGAATGTAATAAGTGAAATTAAAATCGACTATGCAAATCTGATTTCTAAAATTCGGGTGCTACTTGTGAAAGATTCCTTTCAACATCGAAGTACTTATAAATATCCATTTAAAACTTATAAGTATTCATTCCAAGATTTGGTATCATTTTATATAAAATGACTAATTTTCAAATATGATCACTGAAACGTTATTACCTTCGAGTACTAAATAGAAACCGACGAAATGAAACTCGGTTATTGAAATTGACTCATATTCATGAGTACATATTAAAGTCAATCCCATCCCTAATAATAATTAAATCCCCGCACGGAGTTTCTCGCGTAGGATTTTTTTACACAGTACAAAAGATGGGTGGGTGGAGATTATAAAAATAGACCAGCCTTTCTAGGTACCCGTAAACTCTGAGGTATTCCACCTGATGAATGATAATAATTATTCAATTATAAAAACGTTGCCGTTGAATAATTTATAACAGGAGACCGTGAGTAGACTGCAGACGTTTATTTAGAAACGTATTACGTGTAGTACAATTATCTCGATTTATTTAACGTTCCGATACCCGTCTTACACATTTATAAGTATAATCACATCCGCAGTCCGATAGTAGTATAGAGTATCAACTACGTAAAAGCCGTTCTCGATAAGCGAGAATCATTTAATCTAACTTGCTTAAGATACGCAAACGTTGTGACGCGACGTAGCTCGATGAGGATCGACATCGACTAGTCTCGTCGGAAACAACGTGCGGTAACGATGACAGTGAGACAGTGAAGTAAATCTACGATGCACATATACCGACGGAGAGACCGCTCTCTCTGTGTCCGTCTTGTACGTTTTTAGGCCGTCCCTACTCGAATTTCAATGTATTCGCGATCAATGAAACCCTTAATTACATTCATTCCTCCCCCCGGCCAAAGCTCCGTTCGTTTAATTCCTTAGACAAATGCGACGATGATCGAGTCTTCTCTGAAAGGCAGATTAGAAACGAATCGTCCAAATATTTAGCTTACCTAATCGTTGATAATGATAGAAACTGCTGACTCGGTACCACCGAAGCAACTAGACCTTCTGTGAAACATCTTATCATTATTATTATTATTATTATTATTATTATTATTATTATTATTAATATTATTATTAACCGTCGACGTTACATTTAGATCGTTTATACAGGATAACGTATTTAATTAAGAAAGGAGACGTCCAGCGTCACTCAAATTGGACGAAACCAGCGTCCAGCGATTCGTTTGGCTCGGTTCTCCAAACGAGTTTCGTCGATTAATTAAACGAGAGCCGGCTATTTTGCTTGGCAGACCGCGCTGAAAACCGAGCCAGTCAAGGGACAAGAAATCAATCTTCCGCCTTGACACGCGAGCCGATTCGTTTCGGAAACGATCGACCGTTTTTATCGCAATTAATCGAAGTCGTTTTAATTGGGCCCCCGGTATACGTACGTCGCCTAACCGCAATTATTGGAAATCTCTCTCTCTCTCTCTCTCTTTCTCTATCTCCTTCTCTTGCTACATTTAGCATGAGATGCCGTTCCATGTTGTCGTTTCAATCGCGGATCAATTGAACTCTGGATTTGCGTAAAACGAACTGATAGTCGATATGCGACCTCGCATAATTCATTACCTGTTGACTTTAATGTGAAATCATATACCCGTGCGGCGAATTCCTTCCGAGGGTGAGTCGCGGTAAAATCGATAACGTAACGAGCGAACTGCGGATTTCATGAATCTCTGAGAATTGCACGAAAAACGAAAAACGTGATTGTATAAAAAAAAATATCAGAAACAAATTGGGTATCGCAATACTTGATTGAATGACTTAGGAAACTTTTACCGATATTTCATTTTTAAATTGATATCGTAGAACTACGCGATTTAACAACGAGACGTTTCATTTCGCGTTTGGATGAAGAATTGCTTGAAAATATTGTGAACTGTAATCGCGTGATCCAATCAAGCGAAGCTTGAAATTCGTTTAACGCGACGATAAAACGGCCGGTTTTTATAGTATATTTCCGTACTTTTCCATTTGCTAACTGTGTATCGACCCGGTTCGCCAGGGGTTACCTTGTATGTAAAAGAAGGGAGCAACCGGTTGCAACACGAGAGGAACACGTGTCGCCCATTAGATTCTAACAAATAACCGAATCGCAAAATCGGAGCCAAGTTCGTTCCGCGATTCGTCTTCTAATTCCTGACGTCGTGAATTACGCAGAGAATCAACCCTGAATAGGATTTCAATGAATTTCCATCGATTATTTAAACACCACGTCGCTGACAACAATATATCAAATTGTAATTTGTATTACGAAGGAGTTAAATCGATTCGAATGAAGCATAAGAACAGAAGTGAAGTATTGTACATTATGAAAAAAATGAAGGAATTGATAGTTTAATGAATTGACTCGACTGACAATTTGCTCGAAATACAGAAGCCTCAACCAGTCCCGAGCGATTTTGTACTTAGTTTAGCACCGACAGCGACGGACTGGAAGGTAGAGCAAATATTATTCGAGAAACAAGCAGGCTATGAAGCCATAGGATTCGAAGAGCGAAAATTTCCTTATTTGCACATACTTCCAGGGCTCGCGCGTAGGCCATTGACTTCGTTGAGAAACTAAAAACGTGGAGAACAATCATACATCGTGACAAAAGCTAAGAACCCATCGATTTTATGATAGTAATCTGACGACAGTAACGAATGAACGAATCGTTTCTTTAATTGGAGGAATCCAGTTGAATAATAATTAATTACCTTTGGACACATTTAGATAACATCACGTCGAATGTTCTTTCCTAATGATGATTAATGACGTCCCATATTTTCTGCTGAAAGAATGAAATATTATAAAATTTGTCGAGAATCAAGTATCGTGATTTAGAGCACGTGCAGGTTCTCGCAGCTCTTGCTTTTACTGTCCTTCAAACACATCTTGTTGAGTATCTCCCTGGCCGGATTCAAGCTCAGCACCGTCTTGCTACCGTGCAGTTTCGATAGCATCTTCTTCTTGCTGCCCTGCCGTTTCAGCTTCCTATCGCGGCTCTCCCGTAAACGTATCTGCTTCAACACGCCCACCAAAAGCTCGTCAACGTTGTACTGAATACCGCTAGACGTCTCGATGAACTTGCACTCCCTCAACGTCGCCAGTTGCTTGCCCTCTTTCAAAATAATTTTACATTAATATTCTTCGATAGGAAAAATTAGATTTATAAATAATTGTTACAAAAAATTGTTGAAGACGAGAAGATCGTTGCGAGATAAGTTAAGAAATTTGTGTTTATTGAGAATCGCGCGCGAATTTTATCTGAGAGTCTTACCGTTTGCTGTGATCGTGCGACTCTTAGCCAGGTCTGACTTGTTACCGACCACGATCACCGATCGTTCCTGCGTGTAATGCTCCCTCCACAAATAGTTTAGTATTTCCTCGGCCACCTGGAAACTCGAACGGGACTCGATCGAGTAAACGACGACGCAGGCATGCGGCTTGTAGGTGGATAACGAATTCTCCACCTACGCAGAATGATTCAGACTCTGATTCTCTCATCGAATTAATCGAAACTCTTATCCGACGCTTGATTCACCTCTAAATTCGGACGGGAATATCCACTTTCATTTTAATCGCAGGGATCAGTTAATGCGACCTAGTTAGTTAATTCTAAATTATACCGCGTCGACTCATTTTTCTCTGTTTCGTTTCGCGGCCGGTCTTGCAAGAATTTTAACTACGCGTGGGCGTGATACTGGTATCCGAGGTACTTACGCTCATCTCAACGTGCGGATGATCGATGAACACCATTTCCGACTCCTCGCCGTCCAGCAGGATCGACACCGTCTTCTCACCGAACTCGTCATCTGTCAAATAACGTCCGTGACACCAAAATACATGATCGATATACAAAGTATCAAAACGTTCGACTATTTCAAGTTTAAGTTGTATGAATCTTTACATAAAAACATTAACAAAGTATTAACAGTTATTTGATATTACATTAATAAATGGTACAAAATTTTAGAAATTTTGCGAA